TTCAAAGCTATTTTTGTCACCTCTGCATCACTAATGTCCCCGTCGTCCTCCCCGTGCATGGCAGCTACATCCAAGAGCTCCTCACTGAGATCAGGTCTTATAAACATGGATAGATGCGCTGTGTCCCTGTTGTCTGTGCTTTCATCAACAGCTAATGAAGAAGACGAGTACCTGCTCGTCTCTTAGCTAGCTGTGTTGTTAGATTGCTGCTAGTTCCTGAACTTGGTCTGCGATGGTGTTTCTTCACAAACTGACATTTGTAAAAGTCTGTATCTGGTCGGAGCTCACCTGCTCACATACCTTTAGCATGCACTGGGCTGTAGCTTTTGTAAATATATTCTGCTGTGATTGCAGTCTGCCTTTTAATTCTTGGACAATTTGATGTTTTTCTTGGAGGCTAAATTTAGCTCCGTGTTTGGTGTCAAAATGCCGACGTGAATAGTATCCTTCATCACCGACACGCATCATAACACAGAAGATAGACCAGTTTTTCTCCTTGAAGAACAAACTTGTATTCGCTTTCCCCATCTTAAATTACATCTTCTTCCCTCTGTATCAATTTTTCTCTTCGTGGACATTTTGGGATTATTTGTCGATCTTTTTCAACTCAATCACTTGTTGGAAAAGCGCTTTACGGGCAGTTCCCTCTCCTGTCCACCTCAGTGATAGTTTTAATGTCGGTACACAGACAACATCCTATCTCAGAATTTCAACTTTCTATCTCATAATTTCGACCATGGGGATACTTTTATTTCCAAGTCTAACTTTAAATTTCTTTTCCAAAATTAAAAAAAAAAAAAAAAAAAAAAAAAATATCTTTTTTTTTTTTTGGTAACTTTTTTTTTTGCTGGCGAGTTCGCGGGCCACATAAAATGATGTGGCGGGCCGGATTCGGCCCGCGGGCCTTGAGTTTGACACCTGTGCACTAGCATATTTGTCCATTACATAGAAGGCTACAGCCAGCAGCCGGTTAGCTTAGCACAAAAACAGGAACTGGGTAAAGGGCTAGCTGGCTCTGACATAAGGTAAAACTAGAATGAGCGCCTCACTGTAGAAAAGCTCCACCAAGCAGTCATGTTGTAGTTTAAACTTGTCAAAATGTCATCATTGATAATTAGACAATAATTAGCAATCATAATTAGCATATGCATGTATGACCTAAATGCATTATGGCCAAAAACCCGTGCTGCGAGGTCACAGAGAAGTGAAATCTGAAGTCTCTCCCAGATGAAGTTATAGAACAAGAATAAAGATAATTCATTTTATCGTTATTTTCAGTTAAAGTATCACAGTATGTTCCCTTTGAAAGATTGTCCACTGTGCAAAAAATTAAATAAAAGTAACCGTTATTTATTTCCATGTTATTTTAGTCAAAGCCTGAGACCATGTCCACACTACACATGTTCTGCTACGTTCACACCGAGCGTCCACACTACACATGTTCTGCTACGTTCACACCGAACGTCCACACTACACATGTTCTGCTACGTTCACACCGAACGTCCACACTACACATGTTCTGCTACGTTCACACTACACATGTTCTGCTACGTTCACACTACACATGTTCTGCTACGTTCACACTGAGCGTGCACACTACGCCGGAGTTTCAGAGCACCGGAAACGGAGGAGTTTGAAAACGCTCCTGAGGACGGATAAGTTTGAAAACTCCGGGGTTGCTTTGTCGTGTGGACGACGTAAACACATACATTTGGAAACGATCACGTGTTCACTACTTGATTGGTTCTTAGCAGTCATGACGTGTCCTTCCCTGATTCGTCACACCCCTATCACGTGACCCTTACCCGGAAATCATAAACTTCATCATTGATTACCGATTGACTACCAGGTTAATTCAACATGGACAACTGATTATAGGTGTTGCTGACCTTGTTGTCTTTACTACCAGCTGTTGTTGAGTTAAAGTCTGCATTATTACGGAGGAAACAGCTGTTAATGGAGCGATTAGTGAGCAGCGTGACCAGCGGCGTTATCAGACCTACGGAGTGGACATCTGAAGTCACGGTTAGCGGCTTTGAGGACGGACACAAAACGGAGGACTTTCCTGTCCTTATTAATTATTTTGTTCTGCACAACTATTGTGAAGTCCACAGATAAAATGTAAAGGAACTAAAGCAGTAAATGCTATTCAGTAGGACAGAGACTTCAGACACCAGCACAGCTACAAGTGACAACAGACAATAACGAAACAGCGGAAACGAGTGAGAGACGTGTGTTGACCACATTTATGGACCATAATCTAGTAAACCTTTATGTGCAAGTGTTAATATTAAAGTAAATGTGATGTGAGAGAGAGAGAGCTAGAGCAAGACCCGCAGCATTGTAACTAAGTCTGAAAAATAAAACTTCTAAACCTTTCCACTAACTGTGTCTGTTTGAGTTCATAGAGGAAGATTTTAGAGAAGATCTTAAGTATCAAACACAACCTTTCATTATTAAAGACTTCTTTATTACTCTGTCGTATTTTTTTAACTAAGCCACCAATCTACTTCCTGTTTACACCGACACCCACCCGCATGCCCAGTGTACGTGAAGAGTCATGTGATATTGCCGACCCCCGACTTAGAGGAAACAAAAAGAGTCCGGCACATAACCCTTTGTAAAATGCCACATTGACACTATTACATTTCAGCCATAACATGTTTGTTACTGCGCTGTTCAGCTAACTGGCTGCTATCTGTAGCTTCATATTTACTGGACAGACATTATTTTTGTATTTCAACAGAGGTGCTGTATGTGTATGCTCTTACCACTGAAACGCCGAAGTGGATGTGTGCTAGTATGACAGCGGCTGTCCACAGATAGAGCAGTAAGGTCTCGTTGGCGACCACCCCGGTTACCGCCAACACGACCACTGGAGTCATGGGTAGCAACAGCCAGCTGAGCGCCTGGCAACGTGTGTTACTCATCTGACACACAATCAGCTTACACTGCAAGATGAATACATTCACACATGAATAAAGACATTTATGCATTGCGTCGTTGTTGAAAGCACAACAATAAGAGTAATGATGCGTGTAAGAGATCAGCAGAGACTCACCGTAACATTAGCAAAGGCTGTCCCCACCATGAGGTAGAAGATCCTGGGCTGTAGCTCGAGGATGTTGGATGGAGAGAACACCACCCAAATGGTGGACAAGACGAAGAGGAGGACGGGAGAAAGGAAGGGCAGGAAGGCTTCGTACAGGCTGCTGTGCTTCAGAGTGTTACTGCGGTGACCTCTGCAGAACCACAGAGGGGGAGGAGTTCAGAGCACTGTGTGAACTCATAACGCTCCAATATAATGAAACACTAATGAAACGTTGACTTACTTCAGGACATTGTAGAGGCTCATGGGTACGGTCACAGTCAAGGAACAGGCTGGCAACCAAAAGATATTCATTATTATAGGTGCACAGCTCAGGTGAGGTAGTGAATGAATGTACTCGGAGTGACCAATCACAGCTCACCGATGATCATAAAGGTGAAAAGGTCTCTATAGAGAAGGCTCCACAGGATTGGCTGGTACCATGTTTCCACGCCGACCACAGCAGTGACCAAGTAAACGAGGGAAATTGTCTGGAAGGAGAGGACACTTAAGATGTCAGGTCATCAGAAGGCTGGTATGTCATGGTGGGGACCGGTGTTTGTGTGTCCTTACCACTTGGCTGATGTCGTATCCCCATGGCAGAAACAAGATGCCAGTGTTATATTTCTCCCAGTGAGACAAAATGAATGAGAACAGCACCACCCACAGGATGTAATACAGTGTGGCCACACCCACGCCACTTTCCCCACGCCCAAATATGGAGTAGACGGTGGCCACGAAGAAGATGCAGGCCCAACTGTCGAGGCCGTGGTCAAACAGCTCCCCTAGTGGGGTGGAGGAGTTGGTGCGACGTGCCTGTTTACCGTCAACACCATCTACACATAAAAATAAGACATGGATCATTAGTACAGGACACGTGAACATTGATAAAGGAACACATAAACATACAGCCTAAGCTGCTGCCCACACTCACTGAACTGTATGAAGTTTTCCACTCAAGAGTTTCCCCTAAACCCACTTTCTGAAGCAGGGCCCAATATTGGAGATTCCTCATTAGTCACATTTCAACACACGGTACCTTGTTTATCTAATGAAATATGACAGAAACTGAATGAAATATGTCCAAACCTTCAGAGCTTTTCCAGAGTCACTGTACAGAATATTCTCCATGAGGAAGAATTTGCCTCTGCGCCTCTCAAAAGTCAGAAGAACAACACACAAGGGCTGCAGGGGTTAGGACTCACCGAGCGTATAGGCCAAGAAGTTGAAGATCCCTGCAGCAACCCAGACCCAACTAGGCACGTGTTCATGTCCTGCAGCTGGGACACAAACACTTTAAATATGCAGCACACCACACATACAAAGACACTGAGATAGGTATAGATATATCTGTCTATCTAAGAAAGACAAACTTTCACTTTTCTCACTTAGCTCAAATTTCTTCAGGGGTTGGTTAAAACTGATCTTATCTCAAACGGAAGTAGGGGTGTCCCTGACTAAGAATTGACATTGTCCAATCTGATTGGTCAAGTCTTGCCCATAGTCGGATGAACATCAAACTGTCTTTTTTTTTTTCTTGCTCATCAATCCCCCTCTATTTAAGCCTTAGGCATCTATAGAAACATTGTAAAAACAAATAAACAACTAAAAACAAATAATTGGCTTACATACATTACTCTATTGGTTAGCTGTTGTGTCAGATAATCGACAGCACTGTTTGTTGTGTGTGTGTAAGTGAGTGTAGCTGGAGCGCTGTCCGTAGCACTGACGGGGACATCAATAGAAGGAAACATGGTTTCTAGTCCTTCTTGCTCTATGTGGTTGTAAATGAAACTTTGGGTCCAAATTCTATTTCCCAGCTGTTTCTACGTGCCTCCCCCTGCTGACTTTAGAGAATCATTCATACATTCTAAATATATCTAGTCCTCTGATAGTGCTACAATCTGTTGGAAGTGCGCCGATTAATAAATGCAGACATTTTGAAATACCCATGATGTTATGATCCTTTGTTTCCCCGCCACGATTGGACTGTGAATCAGGCTCCTTGTAGATCAAATCATTGAATAGTCACCCCTAAAGTGAAGGGGACGCACAGACAACTGTATAGAATGATACCTGCTGATGTTTAGGTGAAGCACCAACATGTGGGCTTAACTTGGACTAACTGTTCTTGTAAGGACTGACATTCTTGTGAGGACATTTTGACAGGTCAGAGTGTGAGTCATGTGAGCAAAAAGATATAATGCAGACATGATAGAGCAAAGTATCTTTACAGAGTAGTGCGTCAGTCTTTGTCTAGGTTCTACAGATCTAGTTGTACATGTTAGTAGTGTGTGTGTGTGTGTACGAGTGCAATGGGTTAGTGATTACACACAATCACTCGTGTATCAGTAAGTGATGGACTTTGTGTTGAATAAACAAAGTGGCCACGTACATGCCTTTAGTTTTTCTCCACCCTCTGGGCAGTTGGGTGAATTCAACTAGCAAATTATGTTTGTTTTTGTGCATATACATATATATATATATACATATATATATA